AGGCAAAAGGTTAGGGCTGCACAATTAAACGAATTTGTAATCGCGATTACAATTATGAATGCCACAATTATGTAATCGTTCAAAGGCACTTATATTATTCTGTGTGCTTAAAATGTGTTTTTTTTTTTTAATTTACAGCTTATCTTAAGGTTTTTTTCCCCATTGTTTTAATTTTAGTTAGTGTTACTATGCTATTAGCATTAAAGCAACACTATTGTTTACTTAAAATAATGTTTCCAAAATCTTATCAGTGGTTCAAGTCATAACAGGGTGAAAGGCACTTCTGCCGTCGCCTGACGGGGTCTGTATCACTCAGCAAGTGTGCGTGCGACGGTAGGCTAAATTATTTACGACAGCGGCAATGGTCAATTTCGTTTCCAACCAGTAGGGCGACCGAAGAGGAAAAGTTACTTGGTGTTACTTTAAACCATAGAAAAGCATTGAAAGTTTTTCAGGAGTTTTCAGTCGTTTTATTTTGATATAACAATTTGCATGCAGTCACTTTGAACAATGGCATAAAGCTGTTCAAAACATCATTCAATGTAAATTGTGATAATCGTAACTAATAATCGCAATTATAAATTCAAGGCAATAATCGACAATTATGATTTGCCATAATCGTGCAGCCCTAAATTTAGTTCAAATAAATAAATGTTTGAAAGTCCAAAACCATGAGCAAATGATGTTGGGCTCATATCGGCAACCATTGTGTGGTTTTATCACTAAGCTAACAATCTAGCTTACTCACTCATTTTAGGTCTCTAACTGTGAGAGAACTGATTTAGGATCAGCCAAAGTCAATGTGATCATTCACTGCACACAAACCGGAAGCTGGATCAGAGCTTCCACACTTTCCCCTACTAAGTGCAACTCTGGAATGCAAGCCACACACGGTCTGGATTCTGTCCGAGCATCAGGCCTCGCAGGACTGTGCAGCACAGCCACAAAATCTCCACATACACATCTGCGAATGCTTTGAATGGCTCACTCCTGCTGTAATTATATAGTTGGTTGCAGTGGCATGTGCAGTGTGGTTAAGATCACTACTATTTATCAGCCCCAGCTGAGCAGAGGCATGATTTATTCTCCTTTTGCTTTTTCAACAGTGCAGGTTCACTTAGAGCTGTGAGCAGACAGACACCAGATGCCAAACCCCCTACTGAGCAATATCCTCCAGTGGGATAATCATAGTGTTATCAAACAGAAACTAATTTTACATTAAGAAGTCTTCTCTCAGTTGAGAAGCAAAACATTTGTTTAAGAGAGAGTTAACCCCCAAAAATGAAAAGTCTGTCATTATTTACTCAACGTCATTATTTCTGTGGAAAACAAAAGGGTATTTTAAATCTCCACACAGCCCTTTTTTTAAACAGGAACCTTTACAGTGACATGTGTGAACTTTTGAGAGACCACTTCCTAAAATATAAAGCCAAGTACTATTCACATAAAAAACCCAAATACACTGTGTGAGAAAGTGTTAAGTGATTAAGTGTTCTGTTATAAAGACAACCCATTTCCTAATTGTTTGCAGTGTTGACCACAACAATAACGGCATTCATAATTGTCATGGGTGAACAATTCCTATAACCAGTGAAAATGTACAGCACACACACATGTGAAGCAAACTGAATAAGATCATATCTAACAGGATTATTTTTTTTATATACTATTTTATTATAATTAATATTTGATTAAGCTTTTATTTTTATATTTTCAGCTTTAATTTATTTATTTATTTAGATTAATTGTAGTACTGTAACATATATTCTGTTTTAATTTAGTTTTCACTGATTCCTGTTTAGGTTCGCCTGTGCCCTTATACAGTAGTTACTTATTTTGGTTACTCAACCTGTGCATTTAAAAATCTGAGTTCTGTCAGTTCATTTTTCCGGTATCGGCTAAGTAGTTGCCGATAACTAAATGCCAAGAGGGGAAGGGTTACATAACTTGAGAAAGCACACAATGACTTTTAAAGCACACAATGACTTGTACAAATGTTTACCCTCTGACAGGAATACGATCTTGGATATTGTTTGACGTAGTCTAATCTGTTTGTAACTTACAGACAATGTAGTTGTTTATATTTTCTCCAGTGATAACTCCACGGGATAACTGATTTTTCTCGAATTTCAGACTGATCTCATGAAGTAGCGCGTGTATGACACGCCAATTCGTATTTCCATTTTTGGCACGCTATCAAGACGCATAATCGCCTTTCAGCGTGTTTATGAACGCCGTTGACTTAACGTTATATAAATATATGACTTACCTCAACCCCGTCCCTAAACCTAACAGTCACTGGGGTTAATGGCATTTATGACTGTTCCCTTACCATCCTAGGTAAAAAAAAAGATATGACTTACCTCAACCCCATCCCTAAACTTAACCGTCACTGGGGTTAATGGCATTTATGACTGGAGATTTGACTGCGTGTACAGACACGCGGAATGATGCGGACGTTAATGGCGTAGACATATACGCATACACGCAGATAGCTCAAAATGCGTGGAGATAACACGACACCTGACTTGAAAGTGGCGTATATGTTTACGCAAAAGTCATGATGTCATGTTGCGAATTTACTGACTTATCTGCCGGATATGACGTCAATAGGCTATTGCTTGGAAATTTCTTTTCGTTATAGGTCTAGCTGTATGATATATTATGACATAAACAGAATAAAGTTCCTTACCACATGCTGCTATAAATGTCATTCATCTCCATCTAATCATTCATTTTTGTTTTTGCTATTCTGATGATTTTCAGCTTTTTCGGCAAATTGGGTAGTTGTGTACAGCGATATGACCCAGTACCAAAAATACTATCAAAACACTCCAAACCAGCCTCCATTCTTCGCGAAAGATGGATAAAAAGGCGCACATGAAATAAAAACCTTGAAAAAATTAAAAATTAAAAAAATGCCGATTCGCATGGTACTAATATTATCACAGGACCTCGGTGTTCGGTGAAATATAGTAGGTAATTTGCGGGGGAATTTTTACTTTACAAATTACAGACATAGCCGATTCGCACAAAATTAAGATCACAGACAAACTCCGCAATTATTACAAATTACTATAGGTCACCAGATAATACTAATTAGAGCCCGACCGATAAAGGATTTTGAAGGCCGGTACCGATACAAATATTTTTGGGTTTTAAAATCCGATATTCCGATTTATCGCCCGATATTTTATTTATTTATTTGTTTTATTTGTCATGCTTATTTGAGTTAAGAGAACTGATGGGGATGTTTTAATTGTTATTCAAGCAATGTATGTATCGTGACCAACTCAACGATTGTTGCCAACAGGAACGGTGTAGAGTGCCCTCTGGTGGACAAACTATACAACTCCAACACTCATGACATAGCGTGTTTCATCCGTTTTTACTTTATTTTTGAAATATTCATTTATCAGCCATTATAACTGCAGATACCGATAGTTTGGAAAATGCCTAATATCGGTCTGCCGATATATCGTTCTGGCTCTAATACTACACTCTAAAAAATGCTGGGTTGTTTTAACCCAATTTTGGGTCAAATATGGACAAACCCGAAATGTTGGGTTAAAAATGTAATGTAAAAATTTAACCCAACGGCTGGGTTAGTCCATATTTGACCCAAAGTTGGGTTAAAACAACCCAGCATTTTTTAGAGTGTAATCCCGTGCGAATAGGGCTTTTGTGCACATTCATTACAGCCATTTGTGGCAGAATTCCAGACCCTGAGAAACATGTTTCTTTAATTTTTTTCCTTCCTTGTCTTCCCTCGCATATTGACCTACCTGCTGTCCAACTGCTCAGCCCAGAGCAGAAAGATCATTCCCTAGAGGACCAGTTTTGTTTTGTTTTATTTATTTGGCTTGCTGAACTTCCTCTGCGATCCAAGGCATGCCTCCCATAGTAAGGTCCGCAAGAGTATTTCGCCAAGTTTGTGGAGTGGGTGCTTGTGAACAATGCATCGGCGTTTACCATCTGCCCAGCAGAGGACATCACCAGCCCCACTCCAGACCCAGAGCCCAGCCAGCCATCACCCCAATGCACGGAAATGACAGAGGGCTAGAGCCTGCCAAGATCACAACGTCAGCAGTCGTCCCAGAGCCTGAGCCTGATGGATTGTCTGACCTGGTGTGTGAGCCAGAAACATGTGAAATTTGAGGAAATGGAGAAAGAAGCTCTGTTAAATCAAGAGGATCCCCTGGCTCTGTCTCCAGACATTGATTCCGTCACCCCACCTTAGTCTGTTGACCAGTTGGCTCCGCCTTGGTTCTCCCTCCCTTGGCTCCACTCGGGACCAACATCCTTACGGCTCCACCAGGCTCCCATGTCCTTCCAGCTCAGCCTTGGTCAGATGTCACTCTGCCTGTGCCACAGACTTACTGGCCTTACGCTACACTTCATCCCTCCATGGGTTTCATTCCTTTATCGGCTCCATCTCAGTCCATCGTGCCCCTGGTGTCGACAGCCAAATCACCACCATAGCTCCTTCCTCCCTCGACTCTTCCGCGGGCCATTATCCTAGCTACGCACTGGGTTCCTGTCTGACTACTAATGTTCCTGGTTCCTCCCAACGTCATCGCCGCCCAGACCTCTCCTTCTTTCATCACCTCCGGTGTCCAGCACTTCGCCAGCCCCTAGTCCTCCTCTAAAGCCGCACCTTCCTGAAAGACTGGACAATAGTAACATGTATGTTCTGTTTTAGTTTTGTTTTTCACTGTTTCCTGCTCTGATTTGCCTGTGTTCTTTATGCCTTAATACGTTGCGGATTTATATCCCCTGTTCAAACTTCTATTGGTTTCTCTCCTTGTCCATTTAAACCGTGAGTTCTGTCAGTTCATTTTTTTGTCATCCTCTAAGTTAAATGTCGTTGTTTTTGTGTAGATTTGTGTTCTAGAAGTGTTTTGTGAAGATTTAATACATTTTTTGTTCCCTATTCCTTTCTCATGCGCATTCATTACAGCCACTGTGACAAGTACACGTACCCATGTTCATCCGATTTTATTTTAGTTAGTTGCCAATTAAAGATTTCCAATTTACATTTTGAAATCTAATATTTATATTTAATTTAAACAATTTTAAGTGAAAATATTTTAGTTCTAATAAACGATAACAACACTGATATACTCAGTTGTGTGGAATAGAAAGAGATGAACAGTGGAATACAAAAGAAGCTATTTTAAGAAATGTCTCCGTGTTTTTTGTACATTAAATTTAAGTCGATAGCCTCCAATGTAGTTTGGTTACTAATTTTCTTCATCATATCTTCAGGTTTTGTGTTTCGCACAAGAAAGTAAGTCATACAGGTTTGGAACGATATAAAGGCAATAAAATAATGACCGAATTTTCTTTTCAGGGTGTAGTATCCCTTTAAACAGACCACTTGAATTGCAGTTCAGCTAGAAGCAAAAGTATAGTCATTATAGCCTAATGCCCCTGAATCTGCTGATGTCAGGAAAGCCACACTGAACACAAAGAAAAATCCACAAGAGAGTTCTCACAATACGATTAAGCTAAGAGCTCATTGTGCAGTGCTAATTACAACTCAGCCATAGTCAACTCTGTTAGACAGATGCAATCCTCTTGCCAACAGGGATGTAGCTATCTAAACCCACCAGCAGTTTTAAAACAGCAAAAGCATATACAAATCAATTGGTAATGCAGGATGACTCTCAGAACTCGCCATCCTTAGACAGTTCTTTCATAACGGCTTTTTTTTTTATGAACTCCATTCAGAGTTTAGCGGAGCATGTAATATTCGGCTCATTAAAATGCTCGCCCCACTTCCAGCATACTGTGGGTTTCTGCATTCAGAATAAAAAGCCAAACCCCCTAACATGCCCCAATGCACAAATTAAATGCCAAGAGGAGAAGGGTTACATAACTTGAGAAAAAAAAAAGACAAAAAAGATGATGATTTTCATGCAAAGACTTGTACAAATGTTTACCCTCTGACAGGAATACTGTCTTGGATGTTGTTTGCCGTAGTCTAATCTGTTTGTCTTAAATTTAAACAATAAATATGAATTCGACAATATCACCAATAGACAAAGTGATCATACCTTTTGATTGTGTAACAACGTACAATGTTTTTAACCTGTTTTGACAGAGAATCTGCATGCAGAAGATCCTCAAGAGGTCAATCCTCTGACAAATCCCAGTATGGTATACTCAGAGAAACAACCTGTCAACAGCTGGAAACAACAACCAGAAACAACAGCTGTCACTAGGCACTTGCTACATCCTTGAAATATTACATAACTTCTTTTAGCACTTTTATCCAAACTCCAAAGCAACCCAGAAATAATCAGATAGTTGTGTCTAGTTTTCTGAGAGAGTTGTGTCTAGTTATCGGTTACTATGCATGAACCATTTACAGTATACTGTACACTAGCTGACTACCTGCTCTGTAAATATGGAGTGCCTCTGTCTCTGAAAATTAGTATGCTACCAAAAGTATCCGAAAATAAATAGACAGACAAAACACCAGTATTTTGTGACTCGTATGGTCCAAAACAGCCATTATCTTCTGCATTCCATCAGTCCATTTGATAGCTGGTACTGACACAATCATACTATTACTTTCCGCTATTTTCCTCCATCACACTGCCGTTTCAGGAGTGTGGACTTGTCATACAGAGCAACCAAATGGTGTAGGTAAAATATGTTACTAGCCTAAAAAAGGTGATGCTCATTCAATGGATGTTTTAGGACACTGGGGGAGGATTTCCACGGAGAAACATGTTTTGACACCACACTGAGCCAAGACAAGTACAAACACAACACATTCTGAATCAACTGTCATTAGTCCACATGAAACACTTTTGAATAATATTCATCAGGTTGTCGACATTTTTTTAACACTCGCGTAGAGCTGAATTTGTAAGTTTTATTGCTGCCTTTGTAATATTAACGTGAATATTTGCAGTGATAAGTTCATGTCACTTTTTTGGACAGCAGCTTGCTTGCATGACGACAATCGAGTTGGAGCTACGAAAGCGCTTAAAACAGAGATAAAACAGAAAAAAAAAATACACATTGTACTCGCAATATAGTATGAATTATTGAATACTGGTATTAAGAAAGTTTATCATACCGAGCAGCAGTAGTTTGACTTCTCTGGATGCTTTCTCTCCGTCCTTTTGAAGGTTCCGATCAATCATCTTACTCCTCTCCATCGCTTCTTTATCTTCAGCACTTAAAGTGCAACCCATTTTCCAAAACGTTTATAAAACAATTAATTTAAAAAACCTTTAAAACTGAACGCGGTTGTAATTATCCTAGAGTTTGGAGAATAACGAAGCCAAAGAGAGCAAAGGCGTTGGCAGGTTTGCACGTGATGCTGCCAGCGTATGGAAACAGATCCTTTAAAACATGTTAAATGGCAGCTCTGATAACATAAATCTTATAGTTGACCGCTGCAACTACATTAGCTGGGACAGCACAAAGTACCCAAACCAGAAACACAGTCCGTGATTAAAAAGTTTCCATCGACGAGGCTCATGCGATCTGTTTTGAACATCAATTTATTTATTTATTTTTCGCAAAAACGGTATCCAAGACTGTATCCATTCCATGTAACCTTAGATAAACGTCTCGAAATGGATCACAGTTGTGCTGTTAACGATTCAGTGTTTTTAAACGAATCTTTGAAATGAACGAATCGTGCTGCTGGTTCACTTCAGGTTCACTTCCATGCACTGAATCAAATGTTTGGTTCGTTTGGTTAGAAGTCTCTCCCCTTTGTGACTGCTCTCTCCTGCCTGATACACGAACCAACAGAAATTGACTGCGACTTGTGAGGGACCAACCTTATTGGTTGGGTCCATTGAACGAACACGCCCATTTCACAAATGATTCAGTTTAAAACGAAAATCGTTGCTCAATCGACTGATAGGGCAGGCTAATTTGTTTTCTCGTTCTTCAATGAGGATCTGATTATTAGTGTGTCAAAAAAAAACACTGACCTCTTTTCTGAAGGACCACGTGACACTGAAGAGTACTACTGGACTGGAGTAAAGATGCTGAAAATTCAGCTTTGACTACAGAAATAAATTACATTTTTAAATATATATTTAAATAGAAAACAGTTATTTTACATATTTCACAATATTATTGTTTTTGCTTATTTTAGATCAAATAAATTAAGCCTTGGAATTAATTACATCATGAATTACATCCTGCATGATAAAATAAAGATTTCACAGCGATCTTGTATATATATATATATATATATATATATATATATATATATATATATATATATATATATATGTATGTATATTATTTCAGTTACTACAACATTAGTAAAACCATGTTTTACTATATATCGGATTGATGAGAATTTAACATATTTCCTCAACTAGGATTTCCTTTTTCTGTACATCTTAGGCTATAGAAATGATCTATGCTGAAAAAAATTCTTTTACAATTAGTTCTATTTTTGGCTCCAAAATGACTTACTTTGCCTGGACTACTATATAGGCGCTATACTATATAGCTATAGTTTTCCTGTTGTAAAATACATTTAGTCAAAATCATCGCATTTTATAAAAAATGAAATGCTACTGTATGCACAGGCTATTTAAGTGTGGCAAATGTTGCCCTCTCTCAGGTCCCACATATCTTAGTCAGACATCAAATAAATAAAATATGAGCTTTTATAGACAACGCGTTCAGTGCTTATTCAAACAACCAGATTTTTGTTTGCCCTTGCAAAACTTCGTTCAGCTGCTGTGCTGTCTGTGCGGTCGCTGCGGAGCTTCAGTTCATAGAGCATCACAGTCCGAGAGAGCGTTGGTGCCTGAAGTAAATTTCCCATTCATTTCTCCCACTGACATTTTGTAAAATCCATAGCCTATCTAAAGAGTAGGCTAGCTATTAGAGCATGTCTGAGGATAACTAGCTACAGCTGCCACTGAACTCATAATAATATCATTTCGAGTGAAAAAACGAGGAGAAAATCCAAAAAGTCAAGGGTACAATCCTGTGTAGCATATATTTTCATTTCGGAGAAAAGGAACTACTCATCCCATAAACCACCGCGCCTCACTGAAGCCACCGTGAAAGAGCCTTTTGAGTGACTTCCAAATCTGACGACGGCCATGTGAACGTTTTCCTCCAGTGAATTTTATATATTGAATGTGCAGGGAAACTCCTTTTCCTCGATTTACTGAAGCTTATATGTAAAACGCATTTGCAGCTGCACTGCTAAAACATCGAGCATCTGGCTCGCTCATGTGCTGCGGCAACTGCACATCCAATGGCGCGGGACGTCTATGTCTGGTTACCAATATTCTTCAAAATATCTTATTTTGTGTTCAAAAGAAGAAGAAAAAGAAACTCGCACAGGTTTGGAACAACATGAACACTCAATTTTTTTTTTTTTTTTTTTTAAATGATAACAAAATTAAATTTTTGGGTGAACTACCCTTTAAGAATTTCTTGCCTACAGACATGATCAAGGGTCTTCTACACACAATATTCGATGCAAGAGCGCCCCCGGAGAAATTACTCTAAGCAAAATCGCTGCAAAATAAATTAGATCAAGCATTGTAGGACATTTGAGTTATTTAGCTGTTGACTGATTGTAATCAACAGGATAGTTTAACTTTCAGACTTTTGTTTAAAATTTTAATCACTTTTATTTACTCAAAAAACCATGCCATCTCAGTGCATTACCGAGAGAGAAACAAACTTTTGCTTTGTTGCTTTGTAAAGTGGTTATGATAAGGGTCTTTTTGCTCATGAACGCTCTCCCTTAGCCAGAGAAATGTCACAGAGGATAAGTTACCATGGAAACACCAAGTCCCACAGTGGTTGAGAATAAAGCCTGTGTTCCGCCACTAAATCACAGTTGAGCTGAGTCTGGATTTGTTTGTTTCACTGCGGATCTCGGACTTAAGAACAGGAATGTTCCTATAGCACGGCATTAGATCCAATATGATACTTTTACACAGATGCATATCCCAAAATGTGCTTTATTCATTAACACTTTTATAGCCATTTGAACTGGGATTCATTAATTAATTCCCCACCCCTGTCTAAGATCACTGAAATCTGGCTACTCATTATTTATGAATCCATTCATCTAGTAGGTGATACCACCAGTTGGGCTTTACCTCTGTAATTGATCTGGTATAAATAATGTATTTATATTACTATTACTGACTAATTATGGCATACATTTTGATACTGTAGCAAATAATGTTAGACACATAGCCTATACCAGGATTTTAATTCAGTTGGAATAGTGATTTTATTGAAAGCTATTATCTTGACTTTTGAAGTACAGTCCAAACGAACTTTTGAAAACTCTCTGGGTGGAGCGACATATGAGGGAACACACAAACTGATCTCTAATCAGCATTGAGAAGCAACTCCCCCAGTGCTGCATATGACTTCACAAAGCTCTCAGCACCTTCATCTCTCAGCAGAGCTAAAAGGTCAGGTTGTTTGAACTTCACCACTAGGGGTCTCCCTCTTACTTACCAAACATCAAAGTACATTGATGTGTCGCACTGATGCGAGTTTGTGCACACGAGTGTGTGTCTGCAGTGTTTGCACATGAGTGTGTGTGTGTATTTTGGGGACAAATTTGTGCCTAGAAGTTACCAAAACCTGACAAAATCAATCTCCAAAAAACTCCCTTTAGGGATGACATCATATGTACCTAATCTGATACAAAAATAAAGTAATGGGTTAGGAGTGATGGGTGAGAACTTGAAAAGAGAGAGAGAGAGAGAGAGAGAGAGAGAGAGAGAGAGAGAGAGAGAGAGAGAGAGAGAGAGAGAGAGAGAGAGAGAGAGAGAGAGAGAGAGAGAGAGAGAGAGAGAGAGAGAGAGAGAGAGAGAGCAGGATGTGAAACAGTGAATGTTGTGGACTGCTGTGGTGGACACTCAGCACTGTATTTCTTTGACATTTGACCTCCTAAATAATGATGTGTTATCTTCAGTCCTTTTCTGTCAAGATAAGTTTACTGAGTTATTTCAAGATGTCCTCCAAGGCAGTTATTAATAGTGAAACAGCATTAACATGTGATTGTGATGGTATCTTTCTCTTTGATAGAGCCAAAAGTCTTGGAGGTAAATCAAACAGTATAATATTAATGTCAATAATAAAATTCTTATTTAAAATACACTCCAAAAAACCTTTTTATGCTAAAAACAAGAAAGAACCCTTTTGGCACAAAATAGGCTATTATTCATTGATATATTACATTATTCTGAAACATTTTGAAGTTGTAATTAAATTATTGCTTATTAAACTGTTAATATCACATTTTAATCATGCTGATTTTTGGAGGAGAAAAACTGCAATGGCACTCTTCGTGTGATATTGATTAACTACATAAAATGATATAAATACATACATTTTCTAACCCCCATTTCTTGATTTTGTTGAACATTCACATGCATTCATAAATACATTTTGGGGTCTTGATGTTTGTCAATAATATGAAATATTTAATCCAGAAAGGACAAAACAAATGAATGAACCCAAAAGGTTCCTTATAGAACCTTTTTCCTGGTTACAAAGAAACCTAAAGGGTTCTTATTATTGAACCCTTAAAAAGGGTTCTGTAACTTTTAGGGGTTCCAAATACATAGCGCTGATAGAACCTTTTAACCTGTTAACTGTCACCCCCACTTTTTTGAATAGACATGAAAATGCACATTTCGAACTTAAATGGTTGTAATTCAAGAATGCTTTGGAATATAGACATATGATTGGTCTTGTTTTAAAGAAGACATTTGGCAGATTTTTGTAGAAGTGAAATAAATTAAGAAAGTGAAACAGAAAAAAAGTTATAGAAGTTTGAGTTTATGGAAATATACAATGTAAAAATATTAATTATTCATATTTTACATAAAATATATATTTTCAAAACCTGGGCTACTCTAAAATGTCATAAAGATCAAAGCCAAAAATCTGAACAAGTTGTGTTTCAAATTTTAGGTTGATATCTCAAAAAATGAGCTTTCAGTAAGATTTTGTTTGAGCGCAGTACCAAACTTTTTCACTAGGGCACAATCAGACTCCATTACTGCCCATATAAGGGCGCCTGCATTTCCATTCGTGTTTTGAGTGATATGAACCATTATTTTCACAATTTTTATACAATTTCTGAAGTAGAGATCCTATTCAGAAGTAGCATGGGAAGTTTGGCAGATTTTGATATGAATTGAACCTCTAAGAAACACATACAAAGAACATGCATGTAAGTCACAGCTAGCTGCCACGTCAGAAATGGTGAATTTATTATTTTTTTCTTGATATTTCAAACTTTTCAGACCTTTTTTCCCCCAAAATAATTGAATGGATTCTATCTTTTGAACTTTTGGCATGAAAACAAACTGAGGTATCTACCATTTTTTCATGATTTTTCATGTTTACTGCTATTTTAAAATAAAGGTCTGAACACGCCTTATGAGTATGAAAATATTCTTGTTTTATATTGATAAATTATGGCTCCTCTGTAATATATTTTGAAAATCAGTCACCAAATATGGAAACTAGAGATTGTAAGCTTTCAAATGATATATAGTTTGTCAATATTATTTAAGGTATTTACTAAGATATTATTGTTTTAAAAATATAGTGGCAAACGTCCCACCTGTGGGACGGTGACAGTTAAGTGGTTAAGGTAATATTTATTATTTATTATTATTTACAAAATCCCACTGACATTAAATATTTAAAGGGGACTGCATGAATACACAGTAAAAAAAATGTTGGGTTATTTTTTAACCCATCCATTGCATTGGGTTACACATATTGGGTCACTATGTTGGGTTATTTTTCCTAAAAATTGTCATTTCTAGTAATAACCCGGCTGTTGGTTTAAATACATAGGCTATGTTGTATGTGTGCATTTTGAATTTATGTAGGCTACACAATTATGTATATTTACATTAAATGCTATGACTCCCCAATATTAGTTTGTAAGTAAACAATTATTTGTTATTATTTCAACAAACTGTGTGTTTTGTTAATTAACAAGTCAAAAATAAATAGTTAACTTAAAGGAGTAGTTCACTTTAAAAAAAAAAAAAAAAAAAAAAAACTTTTGCTGATAATTTACTCACCCCCATGTCATCCAAGATGTCCATGTTATTCTTTCTTCAGTCGAAAAGAAATTAAGGTTTTTGATGAAAACATTCCAGGATTTTTCTCCATATAATGGACTTCAGTGCATGGCAACCAAAAGGTTAAAGGTCCAAAAGACAAGGTGCAAACGGCAAACTGTTCAAAAAGCTTTAAACGATTCCAGACGACGAATAAGGGTCTTATCAAGCGAAACGATCGCTCATTTTAAAAAAATAATAACAAAGTTTACGTTTTATGAGCTCAAATGGTCACCTTGCTCTGTTCTGTGATGCGCGTTTTCGTGACTCTCCTGTTCAAACTCGTTTATCAAAATGAACAAAAATGAACAAAATACCACCCTTTAGTCAGAGTAGGCCTACTCGTCGGGTTATTTTTAACCCTACTTTATTAAGTGAGTAATTACTCACTCAAGCCTCAATTTTTTTTTTTTAATTAAATTTGCTATATTTGCTTTGTTACTTTTTTTTAACCCAGTGTACTTTTCTCTCCTCTATTTCATCTAAACAACAGCCAGCGCTAATGTCATTACAAGGGAAAATCTGAGACCTTGTGTCTTTACTGCCATGGACTGCAATCTCTTAAAACAGCTACCACCAAAATAGCAACCACCGAGGTTGGTTATATGGACATTAAGTTTGCTGTTGTATGCTGAGGCCACAACCTCTGCTTATGGCAAAACACAACATTGCACTGAGTTTACCCATAAACAGTACACATTGACAGTGAGACGAATCTTGTCTGCATCACAAGAACGACAAGGAAACAAAACAGCTTCTTTTAATTTCATTCTGTGGCAGAATTTGAAATGTATCTCAGACAAACTTCATGTTACAAACTTGATGATACAAAAAAGGCTTTCAAACTTTTTAATTCCTTAATTAAAAAGTTGTGTGGTGGTATGGTACTGTACAGAGACTGTACATGGTCAAGGTACTTCAAATAACATGCTACATGTCCAAAACATTTTGTGTACCATGTCCAAAAAACATTTTTAATGATTAAAACATTATGGATAGGTACATTAAAAATGTGATGAAATAAAACAAAGAAGGTATGTATATTACACTATATCTTCTCTCAAACTCTCTTTCATTCTGTTTTTGAGCCAGCTGAGATCACTGAGTCTCTGGCTGGACTTTCTTATGGTCAATGCAGTGAGGAGAGAGATGAAGTGCCAATATCTTTCAGAACCCATCTGATCTGAAACCTGCTAGTGAGTGAAATACTTTGGGTGTATTACAATCTTCATCGCGTCTAAAAAAATAAAAATAAAAGCAATGTTTCTATCATATGGGAGTGGGTGGTACAAAATCTCAAAGGACATCTGTAGTGGCACATGTTTGCAGCTCACCCGATTGTTAACCTTTTGTCAGAGACTATCTGATTGGCCCCCGCCATTTTGTGGATCAGGTGCCTCACCAAGCCCCAGGCCCCAGGGTGGAAGCCGCCATCTTCATGTCACAAGGTGTGGAAAATGTGACTGAATAAACCAAGGCAGTTTTTACTCCCTGTAAACACTTTTTTTTTTAACCCGAGATTGTATCTCAACGCCTGATTAGTGAGTCTTGACATATGAATGTGATTCTTGATGAACTCTCAGAATAACATTTCCAATTTTTTTAGAGTTGTTCATTTATGTGCCCTTTATTGTTCAAATGACAAGAATAGACATTTATATGTGTTCTCTTTTTTCGATTTGTCGGAATAGTACTGTTACAAATTTTGGGGTCAGTAATTTTTTTTGAAAGAAATGAATAGTTTTATTCAGCAAGGACACATTAAATTGATAAAAAAAAAAAGTGACAGTATAGACATTAATGTTACAAAAGCATCAATTAAATGGTTATTTTGAACTTACGATTCAACAAGTAGTCCCAAAAACAATATCATGGTTTCCACAAAAATATGAGAGAGAACTGTTTTCAACATTGATATTTATAAGAAATGTTTCTTGAGTACCAAATCAAAAATGTAATTGTAATTGAAATATTATTTCACAATATTTCTTTTTTATATTAAAATCGAATTTAAAAAAATAATAATAATAAGTAAGCTTTGGTGAGTAAGAGATTTCTTTCAAAAACATTTTTTTAAAATCATACCATCCCCAAACTTTTCAATGTTTTTTTTTATTCATTTTTGAGGAAAGAAACATTTTTTAAAAAAAAATATGACATTGCGGACGGCCATAACTTTATGGCAACTTAAGAATTAATCTACCCACCACACAAACAACCTTGGTTCAATATTAGTGCATGCTCCAAATTTTGTTGTTACAATTCTGAATTAACCAATTTTTTCTTATTTGTTGTCTGAATTAACATTAGGAGCCTTTGTAACATCAGCCACTTGTGGATCATACCACTTTTTGAATATAGATTCCACATCACAATGTTGCTTCCATGTTAGATTGTCTAGACAACTGTTGATGAATCTATGTAAATAAGTTTCCGTCTAGCGGTAATGTGCTGGAATGAGGTCATTTTATCAGTCCAACATCTCTCCTGAAAAGAAAAAAGATGCTTTAAATATGACAGAAATCTACCAACCAAAAATTTCAAACAAGCTATGTACAAATTCTTGGACAGAGTATAAAAAGATCCAATGGTAAACCATAGCAACATTTACATCTGAAAACATCAACCTTGCAGTTCGGTTTTAGTCTTGATACAATTGTCTGATATATTAAGATCATTCATGTGTTGCTGCTCTATGAATTCCGAAGTCTCCTCCATGATCTGGCCAGGAATGTGGAAGTCGACAGACGGCCTGTGGAGCTCGGTCGAGAGAGGATTGTCCTCTTCCTGTTGAGGGATGGACATGCTTTGGGAATTCCTTGGCCGCATATTGCAACCTGTGCCCTGAAGAAACTGGAGAAAGTTCTCCTCGATAGAAGCCTCTCGACTGGGCAGCTGCTCCTCCTCACCGGGACGCCCCCACTTGAAAACGTAGGCCAGGTTTCTAGCCAGCTCTTCCCTGATCTGTCGATTCAGACAGCCGTAGAAAAAAGGGTTGGAGGTGAAGCAGAAGTACCCAATCCAGGTGAACACGTCCTCCAGTTGGGCCATGTGTGCGAGGGATTCGAGAGAGGACGGCATGACGGCGCAGTACAGGAGGAAGGAGAAATAAGGCAGCCAGCACCCAAGAAACTGACCTCCTACAGCGACTAGGACCACCGCAGCCTTGCCCCCACTGAAAGTCCTGTGAGGGGTGGTCCGAGCACCACTGAGGCTGGCCGCCATGCTCGAGCGGCTGCTCAGAGATTCGGAGCGTGGCCGAGGAGTCTCCATCCACGTGGGGACTGGGCCTTGCTGCATGGCGGCCACCCTGGCCACCTTAAACATGTTGCAGTACACCACAAAGATGATAAGCACTGGACACAGGAAGTACATGAGCGTAAAAAGGACCATGAACACTAGTCGTTGGGGGCCTCCATCCATCCAGTGGAGCGAACAGCTCTTTGGTTCAGCAATTCTTCCCACAACTTTCCCCAGCGTCAGTCCCGTCTCGTCACTGTCAAGCGCCCAGCCGAGTAAAGGGAAAGCGGACATGAGGATGGCTTTAATCCATATTCCAATCAATACCGAAACCACCAGGCCCATGGTCATTTTCACCTCGTAGCGCATGGGATGAACGACGTAATAGTATCTCTCGACATTGATGGCTGAGATAGTGAGGATAGCAGCACTGATCAGTCCCACGCTCAGACACAGGTAACCCTGACACAGAGCCTTGTTGAAAAAGCCCTGACCTGACAGCATTCCCAGAGGCATTAACACCAGGGCCGCGATGAGATCCACCAGGCAGAGATGGAAGACAAACACGAATTTGCGTAGTCGCGGCGTCCTGGCAATGACGGTGATGACGGCTAAGTTGCCCACTATAGCCAGTATGTCCATTAGGAGCATGGTGCACAGGGCGAGCGTCTGGAGGACGTGTCCATCTCTGGGCACACTCAGTCCTGAGACGTTAGGCTGAGTTGCGTTCGGACGCCAAGAGGTGGCGTGGGTGATGTTCCACGGTGCGTTGTAGGTGGTTGTATGCTCCATGAGAGGATGGAATAAGGATTGTGGGCGGAGGTGATTTTCATGGGACTATCACCCATCATCCCCTGCTGAAGAGTGGGATCCAGCAGTACCGTTCAATAACTCTGGCTGCGAGGAATTCTGCTTCCGAGGTTCTGTCTGCGTTACGGCATGCTGGTAGAGGTCAGACTCAGGGGCAGATTAGTGTCGCAACGTCCAGTTTCATCTTCAAATATTCACCTCTTAAGTCCCTGGAGCTCCATCGTGCTTAATATCCAACAAATCTAAATGAGACATGATGGAACTGTGGAAAGAGACAATCAAATTAGCAAGCAACATTTGAGGAATAAGCCAACTTGATATGCATTCTTCAAATCCTAATATTGTCACTACAACATAACAAATCATATTTAACCAGAGTTTGAGGTTAGAATTGAATGTGGCAAGTTGAAAAGGATGTGTACAGTGAAATAATGGCAAGAAAATGTGTCTTTCTATAGAGCTGCAAAAAGTGAACACAATCCAATTCACAAACAACAACACATATGAACTCTTTTGATTCAGTGAATCAAAAAAACATTCAGAACAACTAGTGTAGTTCTATTTACAAACAAATGACTCTTAAAGTGCCGGTCCTTTTAATGAATCATTTAAAAAGAATAACAAATTGGGGTTACTGTTTTAAAAATAAGTTACCATAGCAAGTTATGTCTATTATATGCAATATTGTAACTGAAATATGGCAAAATGATTCAGAATCAAATCAAACTGAATCGAATTCAAAACTGAACCAAGAGCTTGTGAATCAGAATCAGTTCAGGAATGAAATTTTTGTGTATACCCCACACTAAATGTACTTAATGTCTGATTCACACAAACATATGCATAAATCACACCCTTTCAATTTATTTAAACTGTTTGCAATCATGTGTTCAGTGTTTATGGTCATAACCTCACCTTGCACACTACCTCACATGCATCATTTCTCAACTTTACGATATCATATTTTACGGTAAAAACACTGGACCAGCTTTGTTTTTCCGCAGCATAAATCCATTCAGTTTTTCCCTGAGGGCACAGACCCTCCCTTGTGACACAATGTGGTCAGTGTTTTGACAAGAGCTTTAAAAGAATATCTAATTCAGTTATAAATTGTTGTTTTAGGACATCTGCATAGAGACTTTGTTTTCTGCCCAAGGCTTAGGACCACAATGATCTCATGGTTAACTGATTGTAAGTAGTTAAGGGAAGGGGCTATTCTGTACCTGGAAGGTATTGCAACTGTGGTTTGGCCAGAAAAAAAGCAGTTAGAGCTACAGTTGCATGATTATTCACATGACCATGATGACCTTGATTGTGATGATTATAGAGATAACGTTTTAGCCTTCTCTTCTTCTTTAATTTAGCAAGAAAAATACTAATACTCAAAACAGCAGAGTGTTTAGAGTTAAAAAGATCAGTTCACCTGGAATTAAAATTGTCATCATTCACTCACCAAACCTTGGTGTTCCAAACCTGTATGACTTTCTTTTCTTCTGTGGAACTGTTGAAGATAGTTTATTAAGACAGTAACTGTTTTTGTCTATATTATTGACTTTCATAGTATAGATAAAAAAAAAATTACGAAGACATTTTCCAAAATGTCGTCTTTGAGTTCCAAAGAAGAGTTTCTTTTTAGCCATACAGGTTTTGAGGGTGTGTAAATAACGCCAACTAATTCATTTTTGGATGAACTCTTTAAGTGAAAACAACACTAATCTACAGACTGTCATCCACAGACTAACTACTAAAAAAACACAACAAATGCCATAAAAATATAGAAAAGCACCTCTATAAATATATATACCTGAGATGAAGCGACACATAGTGATTGGTGATAACTTCCTGGGATTAAACCTGTGATGTTTACATAACTAGGCCAGAATCATTATAGGGCAGGATTTCTTTTGTGCTAGGCAATCCATAACTTTTAAAATATGGGACGATTTTACCTTAAAGTGTGTAATTTGTTGATAAAACACTTCTCTCTTTCACAGTTAAATGTGCAGAAACAATGAAAAAATGTAAACATTGTGAGTCTCTCTTTCACAACATGGACTACATTTATGAACACCAGATTTTTGAGTAGTTGAGCTATTGTCTTCCTTTGTCTGATCAAGAATACTGATCTTGACACAAAGCAATTAACACACGAAACATAATTTCTGTCTTCTGAGCAAGTGCACAATGCTAAGACTATAATTGTAGTTACATTAAAGGAGTAGTTCACTTTAAAAAAAAAAAAACTTTTGCTGATAATTTACTTACCCCCATGTCCATGTCATTCTCTCTTCAGTCGAAAAGAAATTAAGGTTTTTGATGAAAACATTCCAGGATTTTTCTCCATATAATGCACTTTACTGGTAACCAAACTGTTTCAAAGGGCTTGAAACGATTCCAGACGATGAATAAGGGTCTTAAAAAAAAAAGTTTAAGTTTTATAGACCATTTTACAAGATGTAAACAACACTGGTCCAGAAACACTTCCTGTTTCAGTTTGTAACTGTTTTCTTTATTTCACATGTAAAGAAAACATCTTAAAGATATTTGTTTAACTTTCTGATTCAGTTTTATATGTTCTGTTGGTTGTATTTATCCCAGCTTTTATGTAGTGTTAAAAAACTGAAACAGGAAGTGCTTCTGGACCAGTGTTGTTTACATCTTGCAAAATGACTATAAGCTCAAATGGTCACCTTGCTCTGTTCTGTGATGCGCGTTCGTGACTCTCCTGTTCGAACTCATTCATCAAAATGAACAAATCTTTTTCCGAGTCAATTCGTTCATTTTGTTCATTGAATGAACCAAATGACATGAAAAAAGATTTGTTTATTTTTCATGAACGAGTTCGAACAGGAGAGTCACAAACGTGCATCACAGAACAGAGCAAGGCAACAATTTGAGCTTATAAAACTTAAACTTTGTTTTTTTTTTTTAAAATGAGCGATCGTTTCACTTGATAAGACCCGTATTCATCGTCTGGAATCGTTTAAAGCCCTTTGAACAGTTTGCAATTTGCACTGAAACTGTCTTTTGGACCTTGAACTGTTTGGTTCCCATTGAAGTCCATTATATGGAGAAAAATCCTGGAAAGTTTTCATCAAAAACCTTTTTTTTTTTTTTTGACTGAAGAAAGAAAGACATGGATATCTTGGATGACATGAGGGTGAGTAAATTATCAGCAAAAGTTTTTTTAAAAGTGAACTACTCCTTTAAAATGTTTACACTACTATTCAAAATGTTGGGATCTGTAAGATTTTTTAATGTTTTTGAAAGAAGTCTTGTATACTCACCAAGGCTGCAATTATTTGATCCAAAACTGAAAAAAAAAACTATTTTGAAATATTATTACAATTTAAAATATTTTGTTTCTATTTTAAAACTTAATTTACTATATTCCTGTAATGGCAAACTTTATAATATATAAAGTTATAAATATTTTGTAACATCATACATGTCTTTACTGTCCCTTTTGATCAATTAAATTCATCTTTGCTGAACAAAAGTAAAATAAAAACACTAAAATAAACTACACTTTTAAGGTGAATCCCTTTTGCCGTTTTGTTAGCAGTAGTGGTGCACACTTCACCTTTAAAGAGCCATTTCTAAATATGCCCCTTAAAAAAGTCACTCTCATTGGTATAGCTAGTCATATTTGAATCATAAAAGTAGCTGATTTAGATGTCACTACCATATTTTTAGATCATCTGACAAGCTTTGCCTTTATTATACGCTCACTATAGCTCCATAATAAGCAGTACAGAGATTAATCAACTGCTGTGTCAAGATCTGTTATCTAGAAACCTAAACATACATTGCCCATGTCATGGCGTACTCTAAATAATCAACATGAAAATTACTTTTCTATGAGGTTATCATCAGTCAGTGATACTAATGCCCATGCACATGATGAGAAACATAAACACACAGTTCAGTGTTTAGTTATATTCATACATTTGAAGGGTTGTGGTTGAGTAAAGGATTTTAAAAAAGGCAGTGTGGGTCACAAAGCCCTAAAGCACCTACGCTTTCTATAGGAAAGGATCGAGATTAGCGTTCATGTACTTAAATGCATGATCTGCAGGGCCGAGATGAAGCTGTAGGAACCGCAAATGCATTTTAAAATGGTCGACTTTCTGTGAACCCTCCTGCACTTTGTGAGACAAGAATCAGCTAGCAACTAACAATCTCAAGGACTGCCAACTGAGAAACATATGACCCCGTAATATGCACATGACTCAGTACTTACTGCGATGAAAACTAGCTCTGTTGTTCAGAAACCTTGTGTTTTCCCCCTCCCTTCTTCTTCTTTCCCCCTCAGGGTGACCAATGCTGGTCCTTTACAACTTATAAACATGATGTTTGTTGTCTTAGCCTAAATAATCCACTATAACACCCATGAGTGCAGAGTTTATTGTCTGCTACCAAACAGTTCCCATAATCCCCCGAGGTGAGCTGATTCAGTGCTACATTACACACATGTCATGTATGTCAATACCATCATTCAAGGCCACCGCTGGTTTAGATTCCTAAGAAAGGAAGCAAACATGAATACAAGCCTGGTGATGGAGCCTAAAGCCAACAAAGCAAGAACTGAGAAAAGTCTGCAAGACTGACATCTTAAAAATCATTTCCAACTTGCCCGTCCGGAAATACTACAACACATGCATGTCATCCACGATGCACAAGTTTAAACAGGCGTCGGTGTGGGGGTGCAGAGCTAAAGGAACCGTGGCTCCATATGATGTAGATGAGGAGAACGTACCTGTAGTGGAGAGGTCCAGCAGCAAGGATCTCCTCTTCAGCTTCCAGGGTTAGTGTCGCACGACAGTGAGAGAGAGATAAAAAGAGGGGGAGAGAGAGAGAGCGAAAAAACTAGAGAGAGAGGTACCCAACACCCCTCCTCACCTGGCCCTTTCATCTCTCCGCCCCTCACCCTTTCACCCACCCACACGCATGTACACACAGACACACATTCACACAAACACACACACAGAGATAGAGATAAAGAGAGAGAGAGAGAGAGAGAGAGAGAGAGAGAGAGAGAGATCGCCCCCTCCCCCGTCAGCGATGCTTCAGGAAGGCGGCTGATCCAGGTGGTCAGGTTGATGTACACGCTTCTGAGAAAACAGAAAGATAACAAAAAGCACCGTCTCTTTAGGCGGCGCCGTGTGAAACCCACTCTTGCCCCTCTTCTGACACACACACATCCACACAAACACACATAAACATGTGCTCTCCCACACACACGCACAGGGCAACTGCAGAACAGAATGGAGAGGAGACAGGGATGCAGGCAGGCAGGCAACCCTCCTCGCATCACCAGGTCCTAGTGCCCTCCCGTTCCCACCGCGTCTGTCCACAGCCTCAAAGGCGCATACGTTCGCACAAATGAGATGCGGTACGAGCCACGTCAGGTTCTTGGGATCCATGGGGTGTGTTGCAAGGAAACACGCTCGCTTTTTTCTCATTCAATCTCTTCCAGTTAGCCCTGGGTTGATCTCTGTGTCCAATCCGTTAAAATCCCTCTCATGAGACCCTGATTATTGTTTGTTTGAGGTTGCAAAGCCTGCCAAGGCACAAAGGGACTACGAGAAAATATCAGCGGTTTTGTCATTCTGGGGGATACCTGGAACACACCGAAAATGATTAAAAAGCTATGAGACTTTGGAAGGCGCCAGCCCAGGTGTCTACAGAGATTCAAAAGTTAAAAACAGGAATTAAGGGGCTCTTCAAGAGCTCGTGTGTTAGGAGGTAGCTTGCAGACACGCACTAAAATGTCAGAAACTGTTCTCGCTTTTATGTTCAAACCAAAGTCGGACAATGATGGAGAGGATCAATGGTTAGTTGATGAGTTTATGCAGCTGATGTGAAGATAACTATCTTCATTAGGTCATTGATTAACATTTTCTTTCATGATTATATTTAAATCCTTAGTGTTAGAACTTTTGTAAGATGCCTACAGAGTGACATGCTATTGGGGATTATCACGCTGATACGTAGGACTTCCGGATTCAGTGATCTTTGTGCACTGCCACTTCCGTTGAATCACCGATCTTGCAGGCGAACTGATGACGGACTGCACCAAGTTTATTTATACGGCATCCCTGGTAAATTAGTCTGATTCACTAAAGTGCCGGCTGCAAACAAACGTGCTACCTTGTTTTATTTTAAAGTTTTAATCCAGTTCTTCCTTATTCTCAATTCAGTCAAGAATCCATGAAAACTTACGTAGGGTTGGCATTGTTGGTTAGATTTACAAATTGGAACAGAGCAGTGACAGCCTTCGCCTCAGCCATTGTTGAACTGCATCAGAAGTGGACATGCACAAAGTTGACAAATCCGCCCATGAAACCCGGAAGTGTGATAATCCCCTATTGCAATAAATGTGAAAAGACGGATACGACAGCTTGAGCAGACTCCCAAATGTGCTCTACTACAGCAACTTCCTCTTCTGAACAATGTTTGTGTGTTCCCGGGGGGCGGGGTTTAAGTAAATTTTAGGGTTAGTGATGTCACTAACCCGGGAGAAAGCTTCTAGTCCCAACCAGCCATTTGTTGTAGTCCTTAAAAAAAAAAAAAAACGATTTCTGTAAAAGCAAATATCTCCCTTTGCTTTGAACCTTGAGTGTTCTAACTTTGCAGATGTTGTCTATGCTCAAACAGCAACGTTACACACTAAATAAAGTTAGAAGAGTGAAATCATAATCAACCACAATATACAATATTTAAATAGAAAATCATGCAAAATACAGTTTAAAAAATTAATATTTTAAATATCTACAAATTTCCCACAGTGCAGCACTTTGTAATGAAATTTTAATTGTTGACTTTAAATTTCACTAGTTATTTGTCCAATTATTTGTGGCAGCAAATTTATGGCAAACAAAATTTAACCGCATGTGAGCTCACAGCAACTGCAGATGCAAATAAACAAATTCCTGATCATTATTCTCTTATTAGCATCACATAAACAATGCCTAATTGCTAGCACATACTCAATGATAAAAATAACAAGAATGCACTGAAACCTAACTTGCACTGAAGTTTTGGCCATACTGTAGTATCGAACCGACACCCAAGGACTGGTATCAGTCATGGTTTATCAGCTTGGGTCCATGATTCCTATTTGTTTCATTCATATCAGTCCGTCAGAAAAGCATTTCTAGGCTTATTCTTGGCTGGATAACTCTTAGCAGGTTTTAAAAGCCCTTTTAAAATTAAATATGAGTGCAGTTTTGGATTAAATAAGAGTACAGTCAAGTCAAATTCATTAACATTTCTTAATGCGTTATTTAACATCAACACATTGAGTGAACAATATATTTTTATAACACGAATTAATGTTTGTGAATGTTATTTAATACAAACACTAAGCCTAATTGTTCATGTTTGTTCACTTCATTTATTGCGCATTAAATAATGTTAATGGATAAAAACATTTTAATAAGTTGTCTGGGTTGGTTGTGCCATTTCATTTTTCCCCTATCAACAAAATGAACACAAAAGAAAAACATGAATAATCCTGTCTAAAATTATGGTTTCTATCCACAAAACTTGCCAGAAGTCACACTCTAAAAAATGCTGGGTTGTTTAACCAAATTTTGGGCCAAATATGGACATTGGGTTACATTTTTAAATTACATTTTTAACCCAATGTTTGAATTTGTCCAAATTTGACCCAAAATTGGGTTAAAACAACCCAGCATTTTTAGAGTGCATGGTTTAAGTGGTTAAAAAAAATTCTGGAGATCCATTCCTCCGGGGCGCATGGCCTGGTAACATCTTCCGGCACAGCACCGCTGCTGGAAAAATTTCTTGGGAAACTGCATCACCCGAACAATGTTTTGATGCGTGGTAACCATGCGGAATCATTGATTAAGGCCATTGAATTTTTTTTTTTTTTACTGATTTAACAGCCCGTCGTCAATTATTCCTTACATATTGCACTTTGATCTTATTGCTTTAATGTGACCACAAATCTCGAAAATGCAAGTTCACAGGAAAAAAAAAACTACATTGTACATTGTCAATATTATAGCACTGTATGAAGCACAGCTCACAAAGAAGTTTCAAATCAAGCAGTTTGCCACGTGACAAACTTTAGTTGTAAAATCTGCATGTGGAAATAGTGGACAGTCTGGACTCATATCGAAAGGTCTGGATGACGACTGCAATCAGGTTTTAGAATGAGTTAATTGGGAAAAAAAACTTAATTATTAACCTTAATTGAAATTAACCTTAATTTAAAAAAAAAAAAAAAAAGATTCTCAAAATTAATGTTTGAGGTATATTTGTGTATACTTTTGAGGTATGTTTGTGAGAAAAAAAATGGTTTAAAAATATATAATGAGGACTTAAAATGTTTTGAGAATGCACAAAAACGGACATCCTTTTTTGTAGTCCTTATCAGTGTTGGTTAAGTTACTCTAATTTCATCTATCTTCAAAAGTGTAATTAGATACTGTACTAACTCTCTAAAAGTATTGCATTACCTTTTACTATACAATTACTTTCTAAATCCTATATCAACCTCAACAAGTTAAACAATACAAGGATAGACATAAAAATGCTCATAATTCTTTCAAATAAATGATAAAAAATTGCATACATTATTCCTGAACTGACTAAAGTATTATTTAACCAAGGGGAATGTTACAAAAACATAAATTTTAACATTAGATGTAAAATTTAGATGATTAATCCACTATATCATTTTTATAGTCGAGACAGGATTTAGTGCAATTACATCCGAAGTAACTGTAATTAAATAATAGAATCTCTTACTTTTGTGACTGTATGTAATTCATATTGTAGAACAAAACATGACAGTCACTTCAATAATGGTTATTTCACTCCTAAATCAAAAACTGCTCATCTAAAAACCCATTGGAATTTCTGAAACAAACTGAACAGCTGGACTATTCACTTTCTGTGAGAGTAAAACTCACCCAGAGAAGAAATAATAATAAAACGCTTGTGAATAATTGATACTAACGATGACTGTAGGACTTTCAATAAAACAATAGTCTCAGTAATTTTAACGCAAGAAACCACACACATTTAGTTAATACAACACGAGTGCTGAACATTTTTTAAGAGGAAAACAAACATTTATGACAATAGTATTTTTGATTTTAGCTAAGCTAGGAGGATGAACTGTTCTAGCTCCACTGCCGTTTTATACGTCTGTCTATGTAAACAGAGCATTGGGAGATCAGCCCTGAGAGACTGCGGCTCACAAGGCAACACATTCAGACACTTGAGACCGCTTTCATTTGAGATATTGTAACTTTTTGCTCAAGAGAAAACACAGCCACAGGGCATTGGAGATGTTGTTGGCTCATCTGGATCTGCGATCACAGTGATGCATGACTTGATCTGGTTCTTAGTTCACTGACACGAGTCTTCCTCCCTTTGTTTGTGGGCAACCAGTACAGCTGCTTACATTGGATCGCAACATCAATGAATCAATAGATCGTTAGCGAGGCGCATGGAAAGACGCTTGGTGGGCTGACTGTCATTGAAAGGATTAATGGAATGGGAAAGATAACAATAGGAGTGAAACAAGAACACTCATGTTTGAGTGAGGAGGCAGAGAAAGACAGCAGGGCTGAAGGTGTTGAAAAAGACAGAAATAGCATATACTTGCTCAACCCGGCAGCACCAATCACGGGAGAGCCAAAATACAATGGTCTCCATGACAACTCAGGAGACCATAGACTCCAGGCTGCCTCTGAGCAATAACAGTCCAACCATCTCCCTGTGCGACAGCCAGTTATAATCGACTGTATTTTTAGCACGACGCTCCGAAAATAAACACATACATGCCCTTGTCAAAGAGGTATGACTCATCCTTAATATCTTTAGTATCACCAATTATCAGCAGCTGACAGTGATGCTGCTGCATTTCATTTCTTTAAAAGAAAAAGTACTCAAATCATTTGCCTGTCTCCGCACAAAGCATGTTTGATACCAGATATTTAAAAATGAAAAGGTATTTCATGCATTGTATTTGGGTAAAATAACATAACCGTAACAATGCATAAAAAAAACATTAAATATATATACTTAGCAATGTGGGAATGAAAGAGATTTCTTTTTTTTTTACACCAAAACATTAAAACAAGTCTTCATGTTTTCATTTCTGTACATTAGAGTAACTTGACTGCAGGGGGCACTCTTAGATTAGAGAAATTAGGTAACAGCTGTGAAGGATTGCTGCTCGATTGCATATGTGCCAGTGCCAACATTCTTAAATTATTATTGTTGTTGTTATTATTAATGATGTTTTATAAATGGAAAGCCAATGGGACGCTTCTCCATCCCTGG